ATCCTAAAAGGCAGCTTACCTGTCAACTCTAGCAAACAAGGAAGATTAACTGAGACAACATTATTTTGTGCTCCTCCCATGAACAGATGTGGCTTTCACGCTGTGAAATCTGTGTGGTATTGCATCTTGATAGTGTCCTAAAGGCCAGCGGTGCCACTCTCCTCTGGATACAATTCCCTCTGTACTCAGTACTGTGTTCAGTTCTGGGCCCCTCACTACAGGAAAGGCATTGAAGCCCTGGAGCATGTTCAGTGTGAGGGGTCTGGAACACAAGTCTGATGAGGAGCAGCTGTAAGCTGGGATTGTTCAGTCTGGAAAAGAGGCTCACAGGAGATCCCATTGCTCTCTACAACTGCCCAAAGGGAGGGTGTGGGGATCATCCTCTTCTCCCAGGTAACAGCAATAGGACAAGAGGGAATGACTCAAGTTGTGCCAGGGGAGGTTCATGTTGGATATTAGGAAAAATTTCTTCTCTGAAATAATGGTGAGGCAGTGGCACAGGCTGCCCAGGGAGGTGGTGGAATCACTCAGAAGGTGTCCAAGAAACATGGAGATTTGGCACTGATGGATGTGGTTACTGGGCATGGAGAAGATGGCTGACGATTGGACTGTTCTTATTCTGTTCCAACCTTGATGACTCTATGATTCTATGACAATAGCATAGAAGCTAGCCCTAAGGGTGATTCAATACATATACTTACAGAGAATGCACTAGCTGCAAACCACCACTGCAGATTTTCATGCTGCTGTCAGATGAAAAGTATAAATGGAAGACAGGCAGAAACAGCAAAATCTGCCCTCCACTGGCATAACATTTTCCGGTCAAAATTAGAAGGCAAAATCATAGAAGGAAGGACATTTATGAATTCCAATACTTCTATTTATGAATCTATCATGAGATGCCTGTTAGGGACTAACAGCAAGTAATCGCATGCTTTCATATCACCTCAGAAAACATATGATGGTTGATGCATTCTAATTAGCTATCAGCTTTTTAAGTAGAATTTCTGGTTTCATTTGCTCTTGTAGTTACTGCCATTAATTCTCTCATGCGTTTTGCGGGTCTCTTAGCCTAACATCTTCCAGCTGACCAAATGGAAAATGGCTGCTTCCACACTTCCTGTGCTTTGAAAATATGTGGTTAAGCCTGCCTGAGTGAATTTCCCATCTCTTCCGATTCAGTTAGTATTCATTAGTGTATATTTAAGGAGTGATGCCTGAAATGTCTCCCCAAAGCAATTGAAATCCTGTAAAGTCAGTTTTGATTACTACAAAACTGAAAATCAGAAAATGATGAAGACTCTAAATAAGAACTTCCTCTGTAGCTCAGAGTAAGACTTTGCAGGGAAGACTGCATGCTGTCACATTATCCTACTGCTTGCACTGCTGTACAAAGAATTCCTGCTTCAAAAGAAAGGCTTTCTGAATTCAATAGCTCCTTCTGGTGGTCTGAAAGAAAAGGTTTGATTGCAGTTGGCTCGAGGCAATGCGGCATTAATGCACAATTCATCCAGTAATCACACATAACAGCAACAGCTAGAAGTTATGGCATCAATTAAAAAAAAAAAAACATAAAAGTTAAGATTCAGTAAAATGCCACACCAGCTATATTTTACATTCTTCTCATAAAGGAGACAAGGCTTCTAGGAAATCTTCCTTTGTCTTTCCAAGAAAGTGTGAAGAGAGGCAATGGGATGAAAAGTGGTAAGAATCAGGAATTCTGAGCTGCTGGTCCAGCAAATTCAAGAGAAGTCCTCAGTGAAGTACTTGGCACGGTCCATCTCAGATCAACTGGTTCTGATTTTGAGGAATTGATCAAGATCCAAGAGAAGAATTTAATCCAAACCTTGATGGAGACAGAGAGACTTCCTCTATTAATGTGAATGTGGTCTTGGTCAGGCTTAATGACACCACCTTCAAGGAGGAAGAACGTGTTATATAATCTCTGAGCAATAGATGCTAAAAAGCTTTTGTTTTCTGGTTTTTACCCTTAGATTGTGCAGTGTTAAGACAGATACTATTCTCTTTTTGGGCTGATCTCTTAAAATTGACAAGCACACCGCACTTAAAAGGTATGCAATCTGTCCAATCCGTTCTCACTACCATGATGTCAGTCCTCAACTGCTCAAACAAAACATTTTGGAAATTATAAGCAGTAGTCCCTCAACTTATTTCCAAATGACACATTGTTTTTAATGAACCTTGCTGCCAAGGTTCTACAAATGTACTTATTATTTGCTGTTCCTTTCAAGACTCATTTGTGAGACATCATAGTACTCCAGAGAAGACCTTTCCTATCACACCACCAGCCAGGAAGTAGGATAATTCTACTCAGTCAGATCCCTGATACCTGAGATTCTGCTTCAGTGGTCTGCTCACACTTTCTCCAAACATCACACTTGGAGAAAACCAAGGTTTTAAAAAGCTAATGAATAACACGGATGTTTAAATGAACTGTGAAAGCAACAACACATATCTTTCTAAATACAGTTTCCCCTAAAATATTTGCAATCTAGATTTTGTTGAAAGTCAATACAGAATAAATTAAAATGAAAACAGTCAATGTTTTTATGCGAAGAACCAATACTTGGAAAAAAAAAAAAAAACAACAACAAAAAAACAGCACAAAGGGCAGAAACAAAAAAAAAACAAAACAAAACAAGAAAGGCAAAACACCAAATCAGAATCTAAACAACAATTTAATTTTCCTAATATACTCATATTTCCTGTCAGTGGCCCTCACAGGTGTCAGCATGAATTTTAGGGTCTGACCTAGCTGGTACCACAACTGAGAACTTAATCCTACTGGTAAAGAAAATGATTTTTTTACACTTGATGTTAATCTTTGATCTGAATGTTTACTCAGAGTACTGCAGAAAAATCAGTTTGAAGTTGACTGCTGATGCTTTCTGCCAGCTGGTTCCAGTTCTTTCTAGCTGTAAATTCAGTGTTAGCAATTATTAACTGTGTGTCCAAAGGGTGCTCCATATTACACAAGAAATAAATGGGCATGATATGGAATGGGAGGAGCTTCCAAGAAATAGAGAACACACCCTGGGGGAGCAGTGAGTGATTCTGTGCTGGGGTTGATATGTTCCCTTCCTGAACAGCTCATGAGAGAGGCTTGTCTCTCTGGAGCCCTGGAAGAACACATTCAGAAGGAAGTTTTGAAGAAAGAAGCTTGCAGTCAAGGTGCCTTGTGCCAGTCAGTAGTGACTTCTGTGGGCAAAGAGGAACTGTTTGACTCTTAAAAGCAGGAGACTTAGAGAAAGGAAAAAATATGCCAGGTTCCCATGCAGATACCAGCAGGCTTAGTTGTGGGATGAGTATGTTAGTCTACATTCTATGTGTACTGTCTACATTTTCAAATGGCTGTTATCCAGCTATTAACTGTGCATGAGAACTGCATATGAAGCCCATTCCATTCCATTAGACACCATACGTCTGCAGAGAAAGCAAAACCTCTGTCTCCAGCAGCCTTTGATGAATACCAGCATAAAACCAGAGAGAACCAGAAGAGCAGTGTCCTTAGCTCTCAGTGATCATAAGAAACAACCATAGAAGTTCAGATTGAAGGTCCAACCGACTCTGGGCCTCCTAGAGCAGTCACTGCCTGGGACTTAGGAAGAAGCAAGGATCAGAGTGAGTATACCATGGCTTTCTGACAGATCACTCCAGCTTTCAGCAGTCTTTCTTTAGGGACTTCCAAAGTCATTTTATGTTAAGTAATATTCAATTAACTTTCTTCCCCTGTTTTCTCTCTAAAGTCATTAACATTTTTTTGCTGCTATGGGGTCCAAGTGATAACCAGTTCTATAACTGAATTATGAGACTGCAGAATCATAGACAGAATCATAGAATCGCATAGGATGGAAAAGACCTTAAAGATCATCAAGTCCAACCACAACCCAACCATACTACCCTAACAACCCTCCACTAAATCATGTCTCTGAGCACCACATCCAAATAGTTTGAAAACACATCCAGGGGTGGTGACTCAACCACCTCCCTGGGCAGCCTATTGCAGTGCTTAACAACCCTTCCTGTAAAGAAGTTTTTCCTGATATCCAAGCTAAACCTCCACTGGTGCAGCTTGAGACCATTTCCCCTCATCCTGTCCCCTGTCACCGGTGAGAAGGGAGCAATCCTGCTCTTGCTGTAAGCACCTTGCAGATACTGGGAATGAGCAATAAGGTCTCCCCTCAACTTCCTCTTCCCCAGGCAGAGCAGCCCCAGTTCCTTCAGTCTCTCCTCATAGGCCATATTCTCCAAGGCCTTCACAAGCCTTATTGCCCTTCTTTGGACCTCCTCCAGCACCTCCATGTCCCTTTTGGATTGAGGTGCCCAAAACTGAACACAGTACTTGAGGTGAGGCCTCACCACTGCTGCTCACCACACCATTCCTGATAGAAGCCAGGATGCCACTGGCCTTCTTGGCCACCTGGGCACACTGCTGCCTCATATTCAGCCGACTGTCCATCAGTACACCAAGGTCCCTTTCCATCAGGCAGCTTTCCAGCCACTCCTCCCCATGCTTGTAAGGTTGCCCGAGTTGTTGTGACCAAAATGCAGGAAAGCCGGGGAGGGACTTTTTATGTGGGTGTGTAGCTATGGGATGAGGGGAAATGATTTTAAATTGGAAGAGGGTAGATTTAGACTAGACATTAGGAAGAAATGCTTTACTGTGTGGGAAGTGACACACTGGCACAGGTTGCCCAGCAAGGTTATGGATGCCCCCTTCGTGGAAGCGCTCCAGGCCAGGCTTGATGGGGCTGTGAGCAACCTGATCTAGTGGGAGGTTTCCCTTCCTACAGCAGAGGGGTTGGAACTAGGTGATCTCCAAGGTCCCTTCCAACCCAAACCATTCTGTTATCCTGCCATATACAGATGCATTAATACCAACAGATGATGACATTAAGGAAACTATCCCCAAAAATGTTTGTGGTATAGATGTCACAAGGTGGAAGAAGCACCATGGGTTTAATGAATCAGAAAGTTTATTTTGAAGGTTTTTAAATTTATTGTTAATTCTGTGATAGCTTCTCAGTGGTCATCTGGGGGTCAAGGAAGGAAGGCTGACAGTCTTCAATGCTCCTAAACTTTCATCCCCAGTCTCAGGAGCATGCTCAGTTACGGTGCTTGCCTTCTCTTCTGGATGTGGTGTCTCTGGTATTTCTCAGTTGGGCCCATTCATCCTTTTTTAGCTTCTTGTTTGTTCCTTATCTTCAAAGGTCAATTGTAGACAGGTCCATATGGTTCCTTGAGATGCTGATGTGTGCGATACTCAACTTCCTGACACCATCCTAAGGTGAGCAGACATAAGCAACTGCTTATCTCTGTGGAAAACTTACATGTGCGCAGGTCCGTGGTGGGGACCGTAGCTGAGAGGTGCTGTGGAGCTGCCTCTGTCCATGCAGTGCAGATCCCCAGATCCTGTAGGACCACAGTGCAGAGCGGGGCGTGGGCTTTCCTCAAGCTTCAGTTGGTGCCTTGTCCAGATGAAGACACAGGCTGGAAAATAGCTGTCTGTGCTGCCCTCCCCTGCAGGCCCAGGGTTCCTCATCTGCCAGACATTTTCATGGCTTCATCTGGGTGCCCATCTGCAAAGCAGACGGGAAGGAAGAAAAGAAGAAGCAGCCACGTGCCCTGGTTCCCTGTGCTGCCCTCCCCATCATTGCCCTGCTCACCGGGTTGCTGGTCTGCCAGCCATTTTCATGGCAGTGTGCTGAAAGGGCCCCTGCATTCAATATGCCTGGTGCCAGCACCTGCCGTGGGGCCAGGTCTCTGCAAAGCAGTATCAAATGTTGTGGTGCGGGCAGGGGGACTTTGGGGAGCTTCCAGGGACCCTCGGAAACTAGAAGGGGTACTGTTTGTGGCTGACTTATCTTTTCTTACGGCAGCGTGGAGACCAATTAGTGAGATGAGGATAGACGTGTATCCTGCTCTGGCTCCATCTTCATTTGGGTGCCCCATCTGCAAGGCAGATGGGAAGGAAGAAAGGAGCAGCCACGTGCCCTGGTTCTCTGTGCTGCCCTCCCCATCATTGCCCTGCTCACCAGGTTGCTGGTCTGCCAGCCACTTCCATGGACATGTGTGGAAAAACCCACCGCAATCAATAGGTCTGGTGCAAGCAGCTGTAATCAGGGCAGGTCTCAGCAAAGCAGTGCAAAATTTTGCATCTGAGCAAGGGGTCTTTGGGGAGCTTCCACAGTCCTGTAGGGCCTAGGTGGGTTATAGTACAGGAAAGACTTATCTGTCCTGAGGAGCGTGGCCCTCTTGTCCGGGTATGAATGCGGGTGAGGACTGTAGCATCTCGCTGTCCTGCTGTGTCCCTGTCCTTCTGTGTCCCTGTCCCCATGTGTGGCTGCAATGCAGAGGAGGATCAGCTGCCATCCAACCCCATGGGCACTCCTACAGTGCTCAGTGGCCATCTGGTCAGCATTCCAGGCTGCTGTGACACCAAGCTCACTCTGGAACACAGCCACCACCACTGTTGTGCTCTTGTGACATGGCTGTGACAGCTGCAGGGTGGTTCCTCAAGCTGCTGGCTGCCCCTGGTGATGTGGCTGTGACATAGCAGGCTTGGTGCTGCCTGGGATGGGGCTGCTGCCTTCTGCCATCCGTGTAATAAAGAAAGCAATGAGCTGTGTGGTGCCTGATGGTACTTAGGCCATGTGAGCATGAAGATCACAGCCATTGCCTTTCTCTCATCTCTAAGGGCAGCAAGACCGGAGGTGATGAGAGAGAGGGGGAGCAGGTCCCTATAGCACAGCAATGGGAGGAGTGCTTTTTCCTTCCAGAGTCTGTGCATATGTGGCTAAGCACTTGTTGATTGCCTTTGGTTCCCATGGCTGAACGGAGCACTTCTGATCTCGTCCTGCTCAGGAGGCCCTGGAAACACACCTCCCATTGCCAGGAGTTCCTTTAAGCCCTTCCCATGGTTCCCAGGTTTGCACAGTGCCATGCTGGTGACAAGGCCATGCCCTGTGAGAGTTGGCTGGGTGCAGCCCTGCTGCCAAGGCCCTGCCTGTGCATCCACTCATGTACCATGATGGAGGATCTTCCTGTTCCCCCCCCATGGGCCACTTCAGCCCCTGCCCTACTGGCTGCTGCTGCTGCAGGGCTCCCTGTCCTACAGCTTTGCAGTCTCTGTCCCTTTTCCATAAGCATGATGAGTAATTCTCTCTCTGGAGTCGTTGTGGCCAAAGTGCAGGACCCAACACTTGGCCCTGCTGAAACTCATACAGTTTACCTTGGCTCATCAATCCAGTCTATCCAGGCACTACCCCTCTGTAGTGCCTTTCTCCCCTCTGGCAGGTCAACAGTCCCTCCCAGCTTGGTGTCACCTGCAAACTTACTGAGGGTGCACTCAATCCCCTCGTCAACATCGTTAATAAAGATGTTAAATAGATAAATAATAAAATATTTGGTTTTATTTCTTTTTCTACCTTCACATGGCATTCAGAACTCCAGAGATTTTTGTTACCACAAAAATGAGTTGAACTCATTTTCTTCTTATGGTTGTGTCTGTAACCCTCAGAGGCCCAGCTCTTAAAGGCCATTTCTTTGATAAGGCAAGAAATCCACTTCTCACTCCAAACTGTCCCAGGAGCAGTGACCAGCCCTGAGATCAATGTGTTCACTGTGTCCAGTGGGATTTCCCTTTTGTCTTCTAGAGACTTGAAATTGGTGTGATTGACGTAAGCATTGTCTGAGTTGCCACATAACAATGCCAGAATAAATTTACCTCTCTATCATGAAAATTGGCCATCTGTTCAGAACTCCATGATTCCTACCTTTTAGTCAGTTATTTAACTGTTCCTTAAAGAGCCTCTGGTAAGGGAGAACATATCAAAATATTTTTGGATGAGAACCAAGGACACCTCTAGAAGAAGAATGAACGTCTCAAGGCCGATCTTGGATAATGCTTCCTTGATAACAGCATGCACAATGGCACTTGCAGAGGTGTCGCTCCCGATGTTGAGGAAGGCACGAACTGGGAATCTAGCCTTCTTGCTGGACTGATAATCCAAGAACAGGGGAGACCTTGCCCCTGGGCAGTTCCCCAGTGGCAGACGTTGGGAACGGTTCTGCACAATGACACCCGTAGACAAGGACTAATATTTTTTAACGGATCCAGCATATCTGCACCTCAGCACACTATTCTTGTCACAGTGGCTAAGGGAAATAATAGTAGAAAATGGGGGACACAGTAGCATGGCACAGATAGGGGAGAGATGTGGCATAGAGAGAGGGGAGATGTGGGTGGTACTTGGTGTGGGTGGTACTCAGGCTACAGTGGGTGGTAGCTACAGGGGGTGGTTCTGGGTGGTGCTTAATGGGTCACGGGTCACAGGGCAGTCGCGTGTCACGGTATATAAGCGAGTGTTGTGCAGCAAGCAATAAATCAGCGCTTGAGCTACATACTGGGTCATGCATCTCTCATGTCCCTGTGCTGGGTTGGGGCGCAGACAGTAAGGGCACTGATGCGGTGTTGTTAACTGGGCATGGGTTGCGAGGAGGTTAGCAACACTTTACAAAACTCCTTTAGATGTTAGGATTGTTTCTTGTACGATGCTTTACTGTTGAGTTTCTATGAGGAGTTATCCACAGCCATGAGTTTGTACAGGCTGTGTGGGAAGACCCCTATTTGTGCACATCCAAAAAAAGATCGTCTAGACACATTACTGAAGGCAGTGAGACCTAGTGGTGAAAAAAAGGATTGTAAGGTGTAGCCTTGCAATAGAACAGCTTGCTTGCTGTCATGGAGGAAGCCTGTAGCAGCTTCAGGAGGTGAATTGTGACACCTTCCATAGCTCAGCTCAGCTCCTCACCTCCAAGGCTTCCCTCCATAGTGTGTGTGAGAGCGAACTTTTTGTGTCACAACATCCCTAGTCTGAAAGGAGACATCTGTCATAATGTTCTTGGAAGATTAGTAATGCCACTAGCAGCCAAACTAAATAAATGACACTGTTTGAGTCAGAAAGATGTCTGTGACCCTATGGGAATTAGAATGTCAGAGTACATTTATATCAGAGCAGTTGAGCTATCATCACCAGAAATTTTATCTTCAATTTGAGCAAATAACTTCAGTAACCCCTTTGGAAAAAGATTGTATCCTTCTAGCTCTAACATTCCTTTTTTGATCATCACTGATAGAAAAGGGTCTTTGAAAAACATTGTGTGTTCTAGATTCCTTTAACAAAGGAATAAATTCAAACATTTATATATATATATATATTTATAATTTTTATAACATTTGAAAGAAAAACAAACTTCCAAAACAACCTGAATAGGCAGACAACCAACTATCTACATTTCCTGAAATAATTTAGAAACAAGTTCTAGATATCCTAAAATACCTTTCCTCTGCTGAACTTAGGATTATGATCTATATTTTTCCTGGCCAGTTGAAGAGAGGATTAAGGAAATGGTATTCTCTATGATTCAAGAAGATCAAAAAGGAAATATTGTCTTCCTCCTACAGGCACAAAACAATCTAAAGTAAGCCATCTCACATATACCTCTTAACCAGTAAGTCTGAAAAGGAAAGCATATTCCAGCACACTACCTCTTCACTTGTACTGATACCTGGCATAGGACCCACTGACTCTCAAATGACACACTGCCTGGTGCAGATCTCAGTATTAAAGCTGAATGTGAGCAAGGAGAGGTGATATGGGCAGAGAAAAGTGCTTTGAAAAGATGAGCAAAATAGTCCAGTTTCCTTGGTTGCACATTTGAATACACAACTGGCCTTTTCAATGTGTTATCTCAGAGCACTCCTGCCTCCAGAGCGACTCATATAGCTAATATATAACTCATATATTACAGAGGTTACACTTGCTGTAAATGGTGTTGCAGCTCACCAACTGATGAAACTGACTTTGCAACTTTTCATCTACACTACAGAATTAACATATGTATTTTGGAAATTCAGTTGGTACATTCAGCTTATCTCCTTGACCAAGTTTTGAACATGAACAGACAGAATCTGTCCTTCACTCTCATCGTCTCACTCCCCAAACACTGACTAGGTGTCTGTCCTCATCTTTAGACATTCTGTGGCTTGGTCCCAGCTCAGGGATGAAGACTATGGTTTACAACTGTTATAGTAATAGGTCCAAAAGCTCAGGAAGCTTGCAAATATAAATATCAGAACTGTGCAACTGAATGGCTTGAGATTGTTACCTGATAAGCAGATGGATAACAGGCTAATGATCAAGATTTCTGTGGTCCATCAAAGAACTGATGTTTACAGAAGATACACTTCAGTTGGCAAGATAAACTACACTAAAGATAAGCATGAACAGGCTGCCAGAGAAGCTGTGGATGCCCCATCCCTGGATGAATCCCAGGCTGGATGGGTTCTTTGACAGTCTGGTCTAGTGGTTGGCAACCCTGCCCATGAAAGGGAGGTTGGAACTAGATGATCTTTGAAGTCCTTTCCAACACAAGTCCTATGATTCTATGATGATAAGGATGAAAAGATCAGAACACATACAAATGTGAACTCATGGTACTGACAGTGATTAGAGTTTGAGTGTATGGTTAGTACAGGGATAAAATAAAATGCCAACTGAAAATGTGCAACATGATCAAGTGTATAAAGAACTGTTTAAATATTTCCAGAGGAATAACTTCACACTGAGAGAAGAAATCTGGCTGATGGCTGGCCAGACATCTCTGGGTGCCTGGTGATCACCAAAAGAGAATTGTGTTTGTTAGTTGCAGGCTGAATAACAGAACATTGCCTGTGGACTACGAGAGGTTTCCAGATAAAGATCCATGATCTGCTGATTCTGGTGGTAGCTTTGTGCCCATCATGTGTGGCATGAATTTGCTGGAATCATAGAGATGCTGATAACACCTGGAGTACCAAGAATACCAGTTGTAATTAGCGATCATGGGAAAATAATGTTGGAAGGAACAGCAAGGCCTGTATATTTTGTATAAAATATGAACTTTATACAAAAAGGGAAAACCTTATTCTTGTAGCAAACACAACTCTCATGTCTTGGTCCTCAAATGAAAGGATAAACGTCCCTAGAACATTCAGAGCATCACAAGCCCTGATAGGACAATGAATTTCTTTAGCCTTGCCCTGCTCTATACAAGGCAGTAATACGTCATCACAACATACAGAAGAAACCCTCCACTGCCCATTATGTCCCCAGAGAGGGGACCCTGGAAGTCTTTCTGTAACTGCTGGTCACACTGCCTGGCCCCTGATAACACAAACTGCTCAGAAGATATAGGAATGCACTTCACACAAAACTTCCACAATAAAATGGGCACCAAAACTACAAAGACAAATTATTACAGTTTCAGCTTTGCTGCCCTCACTAGAGGTTTGATGCCTGGAAGGGAAGAATTGTGTTAACCATCTGCAAGATCTGCTGTTGCTTTCATTCAAACAAGGAACTCACATAATGTCCTCTATGTCAGCAACAGACAGGATACTTGAGCAGTGATAGCATTTC